GGTCAGTAAAATGATAAGATCTATGAGTTTTACAATGATGTGACAAAGAAAAATGCTGATACTAAATTACTAATAGGTGACTTTGATGGAAGAATAGGAAGAACAATGCTTGGAGAAAAAGTGACTGGCCTGTATGGAAGTGGTGAATGAGACAATAGAGGTGACAGACAAGTAGGTTTTGTTAAAGGATAGGAACTTCGTATCATGAATTCATTTTACAAGAAAAAAGCCAGCAGAAAATGGACATGGAAGAGTCCATCTGGCTACACAAGTGAAATTGACTACATCATGTTGAGTGATAAAACCATATTCTGAAATTGTACTGTCATCAATCATTTTAACGTTGGAAGTGACCATAGAATGATATGAATTAAAGTGAAGATAGGCTGTTGAAAAGAACATAAGAAAATGATAAAGACATCACAAAAAACAAAAATAGATAATATGTGATAGTGATAAGCTGTTAGAGGAGAACAGCAGTTTTGAGATTAACCTAACAAATTGTTTTCATCTATTGTAAGATTTGGAAGAGATGAACATTACAGACCAAAATAAACAAATAGTCAAAAACATCCTTGAATCTGCTACATCTGCACCACCAGAAAAACACTTTGTACAGTCAACAATCTCTGATGAAACTATTGATTTAATGAAAAAAGATGAACAATGTAAAATACCAGAAGTTTCTCTAATAAACTGGAGTATGTTGAACTTTGCAAGATCATATGAAAATATGTCCAAGAAGAAACACATGAATATATATTGTAATGTGCTACAAAGTATACTATGCTCTGAAGGATGAATTTGGCTCACAATTCCACAGAGTATTAGGGAAATTTACTTTACATTGGCATTGGCACATTTTTAACTCTTACTCATATTAAATCCTGTTGCAGTTTTGTAACACTAAGAAAGCATACAGAACATTAAGCCAGGATGTGGGCCGCATCCGGCTCATGGGGTGCTTACATCTGGCCCTTGGGGCTACCCTGGAAACAGTGAAGAATCGACTCTCAGTGCCTCTGCCAGCGAAAACAGACTCCTGAGCTCCATTTTTCGGCTGCGACAGTCTCCTGCAACCCTCTGCTAGTGAAAAGGGTTGCAGGAGGCTGTCACAGCCGAAAAATGGAGCTCAGAAGTCCATTTTTGCTGGCAGAGCGCTCAGGCAAACACAGGAGCTGACACAAATGATGTTAAGCTAGCCATACCCACCCTGACCCCCCGAGATCAAACACAACCCTCAATAAAATCAAGTCCGACACCCCTGCATTAAGCAAATTTACCTTTATCTGTGTTATGCTTTGTACCAAACCTGATATACTATTTGAGCAAAATAATGAGTTAATTAGACAAATAAACAGGAAAAAGCTGCATATATTTATGATTGTTGAACAGTATTGTATCAATTTTTTAAAGATCAAGGATTCAGCCTTGCATTAGAATGGAATATGTAAATTGCTCTTTTACTCACATTTGATCAAAGAGTAAAAGAAATCTAAAATTCAATAAATATTCAAAGAAAATAAGATTTTGCAGATATTCACAATATATTTTTCCAACCCTTATTTATCCATTCTCCTACACACGATCCACTTAAATGTTTATTATTAGCTAATAAAGCAACAATTATCGCTTGAAAATATGCTGCCTCAAAGCAATCAAACCTCTTGTCTTATTCTTAGGGATACATTATGAAGAACATCACTTCCAATGTAATATGAACAGATGTTTATTTTTTAATAAACATTATAACATAGACAATAAATCAGTGAAAGTGTGCCATAAGAATCAATATGAAATGCACTATTAAATGAGATTCATTATTGCACAACCTATGGAGATAGATAAATATATCTAAAACATAGATTTATGCAACTAAAAGAGTTGGAAAAAATAGTTAACTGCAAATTAAACATTTGGAGATAGCATTGTGCTATGACAAAGAGTAAGAAGTTTATCTTTCTATTTTATCTCACCTCACAAGGTAATTATTTCCCTCCAACATCTGCAAAAGATACACCAAATTTTTCATCACAAAGAATATTCTCAGCAATATGAATTTTTGGTGTCAGCCCAGCAAAACCATTCTTTCTGGATTAAGATGAAAGGCAAAGTTGGTAGGAATAAGGCTATGTTCCTTCTTCAAAATTTGAAGGAAATATTGTCTTGGTATGTGGGACTGGACCAAAACATTGTAGGAATCTAGGATTCCCTGACTGCTGGAGTTTCATCGTAAGAGCCAGAATCACTGTGAAGAGGAATAAGAACGAAATCAAAACTAAGGCCAATGCCAAATAAAATTGTAAGTCAGACTGATATTCTGAATTATTCAACTGGTTTTTCTTTTTTGGAAGGGTTTCCTCGAAATTGTCAGCAAACACCAGGTTCAGGGTGACGGTGGCTGAGAGAGGCTGCCCATTGTCCTTCACTGTAATTACAAGTTTCTGTCTAACCACATCCCTGTCCATAAAAGTTCTTGCTATCCTCTTCTCACCAGTATGGGAGCCAATAGTGAAGAGGGCCGGTTCTGTGGCTTGAATCAGCTGGCAGGAAAGCCAGGCATTGTGTACAGAATCAGCATCCACAGCCACCACCTTTGTTACCAGATAATCTGCCTCGGCTGAACGAGGGACCATCTCAAAGAGGGCAGAGTCCTCAGAGTCTGGTGAAGGGGACAAGATCTGGGGGCTATTGTCATTCCGATCCAGGATAAACACCCTGACTATGACCTTGCTGCTGAGAGGGGGACTCCCGCCATCTTGGGCCTTCACCTGTAGCTGCAATTCCCTGAACTGCTCATAGTCAAAGGATCACTGGGCATAGATGATGCTGGTCTCAGAGTGAATGGAGATGGGAAGTTCTTCAGTGTTGCTGGTGAGGATTGTATATGTGACCCATGAGTTCTGGTGCATATCTAGATCATAGGCTTTTATCCTGAATATGGAGGTACCAGAAGGATTGTTCTCTGGCATACAGATGCTGTAGGAAGTTTTTTCAAAACAGGGGCATTGTCATTGATATCAGAGATCTGCAGCAAGAAGGTTTTGTGTGTGCTCAATGGAGGGGATCCTTTGCCAGTGGCTATGATTATAATATTATACTGAGATGCTTTTTCTCTACTCAGGAGTCTGTTTTTCTGGAGTGTGTAGTAATTATTGGATGATGGAAGTATCATGAATGGTAAATCATCTTGTAAATAACAAGTTATCTTTCCATTACACCAGCATCTTTATATTTAACATTTATAAGAGCGATTAGAGTTTCAGACCTAGAATTTTGAGGAAGTAGGGTAAATAAGGAAACCACTGTTATCTCTGGGTAATTGTCATTCTTATTTGCACTTTACAATGTGTTACTAATCCTCCAACATATTTTGCCGCCATTGTTATAATATATTCTTTGGTTTCTTCAAAATCTAATGTTTTAATAAGAGTAATTATCCCTCTGATTGGATCGATACTAAATTTTTCTTATGCATTTGTTGGTATGTTGTTGAAATGATATCTGATTTGAGCATTTATGCCTTCATCATCATCAGAAACAGAGGTCTGGAGCATAGTGGTTCCAATAGGAGCATTTTCTGTCAGATTGATTCTATAGACCTTTTGAGTAAAAATAGGGGGATTGTCTTTGGCATCAGTAATGTTTATTAATATTTGCACACAATCGAAAGGTTTCTGAAGAACTAAATCTGCAAATTTATTTCCATCTTGATTCTCT